CGGTCAACCATTTCAACTTAAGCTTTCCATTATGAGACTAAGTGTCTCAGTTTATTCCGAAACCATTCCAAACTCGAACCGACTAACCCAGTAAGTCATATAATAGTTATAAATTACACAAGGAGTAGTAATTAGAGGAACAGTGCTACAACTCTCGAAACGATCGGTCGGGCCATTGTATAAGGAGTAGTAAATAGGGGAACGCTAAGGAATTGAATGTTGCTATAAATAAGAGCTATAATGGCCCACCTAGCACACAGCTAACACAATGAACAACACACAATAACATACACTAAGAATCACTTCACACACAATTGAAAGCTTAGGTTTTTAACTAATTTTAAATTTCATCCTCTCTTTTCTGGCTCTGAATTCATTCACTAGCCGAAGTTTGAGTCTTTGGTTCTTAAACGGCAAAATGAAAGACTTTTTTAGGTTTTTTACTCAAAAGAAGGTCAGTGTATACTGACCCTCCCTCTCTTTGATTGTTTAAGTTGTAGATATGTGCCATGTTATTTTCTGCTGATTATCTTTGTCTATGATACATGCTATGGGTTTATTGTTGATAACCATGCCTTCATATTGTATGTTAACCTCATTGTGTCAACCAATTGTCTCTCTAATAATCTAAAATTTTATCAACGCTAATCAACTATTCTTGTAAACTCTAACCATCCAGCCGGTCATTTTGAATATTTTAGCCTTGTTCCCTGTTTAGTGCCTCCTCTATGTTATATTATAGTGATGTGACTTAACGGGGTATTTGGTTTTGTGTTTGGGTGAGTTTAGGATTGAAATGGAAAACTTAGTCCTAAAGTTGGAAGTTAAGTTGACTATAGTTGGACTTTGTGTAGACGACGCCATAATGGGGTCCATTATGTTTTATGGAACTTGTTGGTATATTCGGACGGGGTCCTGGGTGTGAGTCGCATTGAAATCGAATCATTTTTGGACTTGGTTGATTTACTGAAGCTGCTAGTTTTCTGTTCTTGTTTCCTTCTACGCGTTCTCGAAGGTTCTCCCGCGATCATGTAGAGTCCTCAGGGATTACTGAGATTTTTCTCTTTGCGTTCGTGAAGGCACGCTTTGTTCATTGCGTTCACGTGTCCTGGGATGCGGTCGCGTAGGTGGAGGAAGCTGGTCATCTCACGCGATCACAAAGAAGGTTTTATTGAGCTAGGAAGAATTTTTCTATGCAATCACGAGTCTTTGTCCATGATCGTGATAGAGGAAAACTGGGCAGCAGTGTTAAAATTACAAAACAAGGGTTTTATCTTATTTTTCATCTTTTGGACCTACAGAGCTCGATTTGTGGTGATTTTTTTAGGGATGTTTAGTATAATCTTGTAGATCTTGTGACTTGGTATCACCGGATTTTGGGAATTTTGTTCTGTTAAGTTGCCGAGTCCTTTTCTTATGATAGTTGTTGAGTAATTTGAAAGTTTTTATCATTTAATTAGTTAAATTATGCATGTATGTTAGGCTTACCTAGTCTTAAAGACTAGGTGCCATCACGACATCCTACAGAGGAAAATTAGGATCGTCACAAGTTGGTATCAGAGTTCTAGGTTCATAGGTGTTACGAGTCACAAACAGGCTTAGTAGAGTCAAAAATCATTATGGAGATGTTTGTACTGTCATGGGCGGCTTTTTAACAGTGCCCCATGACCCCTTGGGCGCACCCTGTGGCGTCCTAGCAAGCCTTCCAATGCCTAGTACCACGGACGGCCCCGTGGTCTTGCCCGCGCCAAGTGACAAGCGCGCATGTGCCTCTATCGCCCCACCGATATCCCTCGACAGCGCCCAACCGCAGGCAGATGCGAACAGCACCGTGTGCGCAGACAACGCCGCGCGCGCACACCCGGATGCCAAAGACTATGCTGCTATCAACGGAACTGTTTTTGTCTTATAGCAAACTAAGTCTTTTTCATTATAAATATAGAGTAGTTTTATTCCATGTACTTCCATTATGTTTCTCTAGCTTAATCAAGTCTAGTCTTGTAGCTTTGGATTATTTTTTTTAAGCATTATTAGGGGGTCAAGCAATCAAACTTTCTAGCAAGCAAACAATTCTCTATACTGGTGTCTCTCCCCTCGACACCGCGTTGCCTTTCTATAATAGCTTTCATTAATGCAATCAAGCTTTCTTTCATTCTCAATTCTCATTCATGTTCTCTCAATTGCTCTTGGCATTGGTTTTCCCGTACAGCACTGACAATCTAGTCTAGCGTACGGAGGGGACCTCAGTTGGCGGACAGCAACTGCATTGACATCAGTTGCTTAGCCTTACGTCGCCCTTCCAAGGAATCTCAGGAAGGTGACGCGTAACAGTTGGTATCAGAGCCTAGGATTGACATCGAACGAGGGAACGCATTGCCATTACCACTATTTCTGACCATGGTGAATCATGGGGATCGCATTGCGACCCTTGAACAGACAGTTGACGGATTACTACCCATCATGGATACGGTGCCTGAACTAAGAACTAGTCTAGGGCAAAGGTTGGACGACCTGGACTGCAGGGTGCTCCAGGCCGAAGTTGACATTGAAAACATCAGTTGTGACTCCGAGGGAGACCGGCAAACGGCAGCCACAGAGGCAGCCGAAATTTTTGGCAAATTCGAGGGACTCCAACAGGAGCGTGCCGAGGATTTAGCTTATAGGGCACAAGAGGCAGACATGGTGACTTCCATGCAACAAACTATTGACGACTTGACAGACAAGCTCAATGTCGTCAATGCTGCTTTACAGGGCCTGCTGCGAGGCGGTGGAAACCAGATCAGGGGCACTGCAAACCCCACTTCCGCGACACAAAAACTAAAAATTCCTGAGCCAAAGCCATACAGTGGAGCTAGGAATGCCAAGGAAGTGGAGAACTTCATCTTTGATGTCGAACAATATTTCGATGCTGTTGGGGGCCTAGAAGAAGCTAAGAAGGTAGCAACTGCTGCCATGTATCTTTAGGGTGATGCTAAACTCTGGTGGCAGGTGAAATACGTAGCCATCAAGGCCGGTGAAGATGCTCTCAAAACATGGGCAAAACTGAAGGCAGCCATACGCCTACAGTTCTTCCCCGAAAATGTTGAATACAATTCAAGGAGAAAGCTACAGGAGTTCCGCCAAACCAAATCCGTGCAGGACTACGTGCGGGAATTCTCCGCGCTCATGCTAAGCATATGTGACATGGGGGACAAAGACAATCTTCACCTTCCTAGAAGGGCTAAAACTTTATGCCCGTATGGAGCTACAAAGACAACAGGTAGATACCCTGCCCAAGGCGATCCAAGCAGCTGAATGCCTTAGGGACTATCAAATGGAAGCTCGGAAAGATAGGCCTCAGCCGCCTGCCCGAGCGGGATTCAAAGGGGGCCAGTCTAGCAATGGTGGCCCTAACAGAAGTGGGGGAGATCGGGGCTCAACCAAACCTAAGGCTCCCTCCACAGGCAGCAACAGTGCTGCGTCTAGCAACAATGATCGGGGGAGGAAGCCTCCTTCAGGATGCCGTCATTGCGGCGGACCACATTGGAAAAATGAGTGCCCACATGCACAGATGAACGCCCATCAGACTTTTGATGATGGGACTGATGACGACTTAGACGATGCGGATCAGACTGAACCAGTAGGTGCCTTCAATGCAATTGTTGGCTCCATTTCTGAGGTATTAGCAGAGACTAGTGCTGGCATCCGTAAGAAGAAGAACCCATGTCCAGTCACCAAGAAAGGGAAAAAGAATGCGGATGATGAGGCTCCTCTTAAGCACGATAGGACCTTAATGTTCGTCGAGATGAAGGTGAATGGCAAGCCCATTCGGGCCATGGTGAACACGGGTGCTACCCACAACTACTTAGCCTCGACTCAAGTGGAGCGCCTTGGTCTAGTTGTAGGGAAAGGTAGAGGCCGTGTCAAGGCTATCAACTCACCTCCCCAGCTAGTGGGTGGAATAGCCAAAGAAGTACCGGTGAAGCTTGGCCCTTACGAAGGAAAATTCAACCTGCGCGTGGTGATCATAGATGACTTCGAGTTGATAGTTGGATTGGAATTCCTGAGGCAAACCAACACCATGCCTCTACCATATGCTGACATGTTACTGATGATGAGAGCAAATGGGACCAAGCCCTGCATTATCCTGTGCATGCCCATGAAGATGGCCGTTGAAAACATCTCGGCCTTACAGTTGAAGAAGGGGGTTAAAAGAAATGAACCCACATTCCTTGCAACCCTCTGCATTGAAGATGTAGAACGCTCCTCGGGCCCCATTCCTGAGCCTGTGAAGGAGCTACTACTAGAGTTTGAAGATGTCATGCCACATGACATGCCAAAGCGACTACTGCCTAGGCGCACTGTGGACCATGAGATTGAGCTGGTGTCGGGCACGAAGCCACCTGCCCGGGCGCCTTAGAGAATGTCACAACCCGAACTCACCGAGCTTCGGAGCAATTGACGGAAATGCTAGACACGGGGATTATCGTGCCCTCCAAATCCCCATAGGGGTCCCCTGTGCTATTCCAAAAGAAACATGATGGTAGTCTACGACTCTCTGTGGACTATCGGGCTCTAAACAAAATTACTGTGAAGAACAAGTACCCTATTCCGCTAATAGCAGACTTGTTCGATAGACTAGGTGGTGCGACAGTGTTCACCAAAATAGACCTGAAGACAGGTTATTGGCAAGTTCGGATTGCAGAGGGTGATGAGCACAAGACAAGCTGTGTGACAAGATATGGGTCGTACGATTTCCTGGTTATGCCATTCGTAACGCCCCAGCTACGTTTTGCACTTTGATGAACCAAGTCTTCCGAGAGTACATTAATGAATTCGTGGTGGTTTACTTGGATGACATTGTGGTATATAGCCAAACATTGGAGGAACACCTGATGCACTTGCGGAAGGTCCTAGCTCGATTGCGGGAGCATGAACTATATGCGAAGCTATCTAAGTGGTCCTTTGCTCAAAAGCAAATTGACTTCCTCGGACATGTCATCGAGGAAGAGCGGATCAAGATGGACCAGCAGAAGATTCAGGCAATCACAGATTGGCCGCCGCCTAAGGATATCCACGCGTTGAGGGTGTTCCTTGGTTTATGCAATTTCTATCGGCGATTTGTGAAAAACTACTCCCTCATTGTAGTACCATTGACAGAACTCCTCAAGAAGGTCACGCCTTGGGAATGGGGACCCAAGCAAGCGGAGGCCTTCAATGCATTGAAAGCGGCTATGTCTAGTAGCCCCGTCTTAGCCCTTCATGATCTGGCTAAGCCATTCGAAGTACAAACAGATGCATCTGACTATGCCCTCGGTGGAGTCCTGCTACAAGAAGGGCATCATGTAGCGTATGAGAGTGGGAAGCTGAAAGATGCTGAGCGGCGCTATGCTGCCCATGAGAAAGAATTATTGGCTGTCGTCCACTGATTGCTCCTCTGGAGGCACTATCTGCTGGGGACCCCGTTCGTGGTCAAGACAGACAACACAGCTGTTAGCCATTTCATGACCCAGCCGAAGTTGAATGGTCGACAGGCCAGGTGGCAGGAACTCCTAGCTGAATTCCACTTCAACCTGGAGTACCGAAGTGGGAAGACCAATCATGTTGCTGATGCGCTCAGTCGGAGAGCTGATCTAGCATCGGTGTGCTTACTCGCCACCCTAAGGGGGAGCGAAGTAGCCACCTCCATCAAGGACCAGATACAAGATTTACTCATCAAAGACCCTGCTGCACAGTATTTGGTTGATTTGGTAGGACAAGGCAAGACTCGCCAGTTCTACATGGAAGATGGGTTTCTAAAAGTGAAAGGGAACCGACTTTATGTTCCTAAAGGAGGAGATCTGCGTAGGACTCTTCTGGCGGAATGTCATGATACTCTGTGGGCCGGCCATCCCGGTGAAGAACGCACCATGGCGTTACTTCGCCGTGCATATTATTGCCCTCAAATGGCCGATGACGTTGTTCAATATGTGAAGACTTGTCTAGTATGCCAGAAGGACAAGTCAGACCGCTTAACACATGTAGGACTCTTGAAACCACTAGCTGTCTCAAAGAGACCTTGGGAAAGTGTTTCCCTGAATTTCATCACCGGATTGCCCAAGGTCGGAGATCTAACAACTATCTTGGTTGTGGTAGATTGGTTTTCCAAGTATGCTACCTTTATTGTTGCCCCACAATATATATCAGCAGAAGATACAGCTCGACTCTTCTTCTCTCATGTCGTCAAATATTGGGGCATGCCCAAAGACATTGTTAGTGATCATGACTCATGCTTCACTAGTAACTTTTGGACCCAACTCTTTAAGTGCCTTGGGTCAAAGCTGAGTCACAACTCAAGTTTTCATCCGCAATATGATGGCCAGACGGAGCGGTTCAATGGTATGTTGGAGGAATATCTCTGTCATTATGTAACCGGATCGTAGAAGAATTGGGTAAAGCTTCTGGATGGTGCTCAACTGTGTTTCAATTCACAAAAGAGCTCTAGTACAAACAAAAGCGCTTTTGAAATTGTTACCGGACAACAACCGCTACTCCCACACACAGTCAATGTACCACATATGTCTAAATCTCCTAGAGCTGCTAGCTTCTCTAAAGAGTGGAAGCAAAATTTGGAGATAGTGCGGAGCTATCTTCTCAAGGCTCAAAAGCGGATAAAGAGGCATGCTGATCAGAATCGTCGCTTTGTTGAATACCAAGTTGGAGAGAAAGTGATGGTCAAAATTCCAAAGCGTTACTTATTTGCGGGGGTCCATGACCCTCGCCTATTGCAAAAATACATTGGACCCTTGTCCATTGAAAGGCGCATTGGGAATGTTGCATACCGGGTGGATACCCCAGTTTGATGGAAAATTCATCATGTCTTCCATGTCAGCCTCCTGAAACCTTTTCGGGAAGACACGGAGGACCCTTCAAGGAGCCAGNAAGGGGATCTCAGTTGGCGGACATCAACTGCACTAACATCAGTTGCTTAGCCTTATGTCGCCCTTCCAAGGAATCTCAGGAAGGCGCCGCGTAAGAGTACTTATGTTCGAAAGGCTATGGAACTATTAGGAAACTTTACTTCTTTGATTCTATATCGTGCGAATTTGTTGACTTCGAAATTATAAATCTTTGTCTATCTATTATCTCATAGATGGTGAGGACATGCACCAATGGATTCGAAGATCAGACACCCAGGCCACCTGCTAGATCCATGAGAGGCCGGGGAAGAGGCCGAGGAGGGGCACGTGGTGCAGCCGAAGCACCTGCCCAAGCTACGACAGAGGAGCCACCAGTAGCTCCAGTTGTGGGCAGACTAATGAGGCGCCTGTTGCTACCCCTGCACTTGAGGAGACTCTCGCCCAGTTCTTGGTCATGTTTGGTACTCTAGCTCAGGCGGCGTTGATTCCACTTGCACCGGCCAGATCTCATGCTGGGGGAGGAGCACAGACTCCCATGGCCCATATCCTAGAGCAGCGGTTCCATTTTAACCAGTCCTAGAGCTTATACCAGTGCAGTCAGTTATCCTAATTCAACCCGAGATTAGGGCAGTAGCATCTGAGGAGTAGCAGCTCAGGCTCAAGAGGTACAAGAAGTACCATCCTCCTACTTTCAACGGCCTAGCTACAGAGGCCGCACATGGCTTTCTGGAGAAATGTGTCACGACCCAAATTGATGGGTTGCGACGAGTGCCCGAGTCCTACCAGTCGAACACCTTTAACCATGCGACTAAGATATAAACATGAAAAATATCTACTAAATCACGAGAATAACATGCGCGAGGAAAACGTGTCCAAAATACATATATACATATACGTGCGGATTACTGTGGGCGAGCCGACAAGGCTGCGATAGACAACGATATAATCAAAACTGAAAGCCGACAAGGACACATATTATCCAACTGAACATAACTATCTATAGACCTCTAATAGAAATACAACTATACAAAGACGATACTGATCCACGTCATACCAATATATACATGTACAAGCATATCGTACCAAAATCACAAGCAACTCCGGATCAAGTGGAGCACGCCAACTCTCGCTGATCAAGGATCCTAAGAAGGGGATCGTCAGCTTGCTTACCTGCACCCGCGTGCATGAAACGTAGGCCCCATGAAATGGGGCATCAGTACGAAAAATGTAATGAGTATGTAAGGCATGAAAGTCAGTACGTAAAAGACATAGATGAAACATGGAATAAAGAAATCCATCGGTTAATATGAATAATTTTTTAAATTCTGAAACATTTATAATGTCATGCACGTGCATATAATGTTGTGTCATGCATAGATATAGGTGTACATAATATCATCAAGCCTCTGAGGACATCCCATCATATTGTCTCGGCCACTGTAGGAAATATCATCAACGTATACCAACTGATCAGGTGGTGGTGCGTATATAATACTGTAACCTTGTCCCATATCCCATTTACATATATATATACATATAAATATGCATATATAAGGTCATCTGGTCATAGGTCAATGCACATGTATAAATCAATGAAATGCATGAAAAATATGTAATAATCTCGATATTCCTTCCGAATAAACGTTTTCAACTGCATATTATTTTGAGACCCATGAACAGAAAATATAATAATAATTCACATGGGGAATCAAGAATATAGACACCCCTGGATTTCTATGAATAGAGTCATTTATGAAAGTTATGCATTTGCTCATTTCGTTTATTTTGTATGGATCATGCCAAAAAGAATGGAGGGATAGCCTTAACATACCTGGAGTAGGGAAAAGTACGTATAATACTCTTGGATAAGATTGCACCGTACTCCTATAGAACCATAAAATTTTTACGTTGCTACGATTCTAACAAATTCTCGCTGGAATTGAATTTGGAACCGTAAAATTATATGGAATTAAGCTTCTGTTCTTGTAGTATTTGAACTTGGAAATGATGTATGTTTCTTGCTTTTGGATTTATGAGCGTCTTTGGTTCTCTTTTGTCCAAATGAAAATGGGATAAGACTTGTAATAAGTCTTTACTTGTTAAATTCAAATAAATCTTAGATAGCCACCTAGTCCTTAGTATGACTAAGAGTCATTCTCTTAGTTGGTCGCCTTTTGCCACGTTTTTTTTGGGGGGGGGGATTAATCTTTATCTCATATTTTAATAATTAACTAGGTAATGTCCCGTTACCCGGTAATTAACCAATTACCTGTATAATTAAGAATTATCTCAAATTACCTAAAAATACTAATCATTTTTAATATATATTATACATTATAATATCGTGGTTATATGGTACATTATATGGTACTAGTTTATAATTATCAGGTATTATCGCTCGACCCGTATTTTATCCAAAACTGGCCACTGTTACGACCTAAACTGGAGGGTCATGACTAGCACCCGGGCAATATTTGCCGAGCACCAACATATATTTTATTTAACCTTCCTTATTATATTGAAGGGCCGACGAGATCAATATAAATGGTAGACATAGATCATGAACAACCAACAATGAAAGATAATGGCATAAACATACATAACATGGGATGACCAGACAGTCAAGAAACTATATATAAGGTACGAGCTACCATGCTGCCATGAAAGACTATACAACAAAAATCAGCCGACAAGGCATACCAAACTATATATGAGTTGACACCTGTCTATGATCCCCTAAAGGAACATAAGTGTTGCAACATTGCCGGAACAGGGCCCCTACATACCCATAATATCTATAACAAAAATGCATACCAAGACCACGGCAAGTCCGGAGAAGGGATCTCGCCAAAAACCACTGAACTGGACAGCCTACTGTGGTGGGGGATTTGTGTCTACCCGTCTATCAGGACCTGTAGCACGACATGCAGCATCCACAAATAAAAAGGACGTCAGTACAAATAAAGTACTGAGTATGTAAGGTAGGAAAACATAAGTACGAGCAGTAATGTAAACAGGGATAGAGAATATATAACCTGTAACATCTAGGTACCTCTGAGGGCTACCGACATGAAATGCATGATACATACATATATATACATAAACTTTTAAAACATACGCCTCTGTGGGCATCATCATCATCATGTCGTACCCGGCCGTAATAAGCTCAGTAAAAATGTACCCGGCCATCATAAGGCTTGGTAGAATCGTACCCAGCCATATTGAGCTCGGTAAAACCCAACTGATCAGTGGTTGCACAATATGTGCCATACCTGGCCGTCAATAACGCGGCTCGGTAGAGTAAAATAGGTACATATATATGCTATGCATGTTGGACACATTGGAATAATATTCTGAACCTTTCAGAATGACGTAAGGTCGGTATCCTCTGTATACGTTATTAGGACTAACTCTGCATCATGAATATTATAAGAATAATGAAGTACCAACAACATTGATAACATAAGAATAAGAGAAGCAACATCAACATCAATCGCTCTATAAGAAGGGAAACAATGTAAGTACTGCTA